TTAGAGGTGCAGGTTCTGTGCTGCAATTACCTCCTCAAGCAAGTCTCAGAAACAATAGCCCGTCCCTCTTCCATCTGTCTCCTATGCAGAAATGTAGCCAGGCAGCTCTGTGTGCTGCTGGTTCCTCCACAGGCACTTCCCCTGCAGTTACTACTGGCCATGGATCCCAGCCAATGAGAACTGCAAGGGCAGTGTTTGGGGCAAGGGCAGTGCACAGAGCCCTGTGGCTGCCCCTACACATAGGAGTCAGATGGGAGACATGCTGCTGCTTCCAAAAGCCACACAGAGCCATAGCACATGCAGAGCAGGGCAAGCCCCGGAACCTGCTCCCCAGCAAGAGCTCGAGGGCTGGATTAAACCAAGTGATGTGGTGTGTGGATGTGGTTTGTGGTCTAGAAAGTGAGGCTTGAAGCCCATTCAACTCCACTGGCCATTTAGTGATTTTGTCTTGCTATCATGACACTACATTAGGATGACCAAATGACAGTAAATCAATAGCCATGAGATCTGTTAGAAAGCATAGAAGTCTCCTCAGTCAATTTTGGATGGACGTATTCCTGGAGGTTTCATCACATGACATAAGGTTTAATGAGAAAGTAATCATTACCCCCTGGGGACTCCAGGACAAGCCTGGGGAGTTAGCCACCCTACCTGCAGCCCCAACTAGCACGTTTTAACTCAAGCTATAGCAATTCTTGCTTTTGGCTCTGGAGATGCTTCCTCCAATCCTTGGCGTGTCACCCAAAATGGCTGCTGATATATTAACAAGTGCAAGCATCGGTTTCCAACTATGTTTTTATTGCATTCACATTTAACCTTCATCCAGTAACCATTTTCAGACTTTCTGGTCTCTACCTATTCTCCCACAACTTCCTACACCCCAGTACAGATTGATCCTTTTCTCCTGGCAAGTCTAAAGCCTATGCTCCTCCAGATTTTCCTCAACTCCTTGGATGTGCAACTGATGGATGAAGTGCAAAGAAAACAGTTTTATTATAGGATAGCCGATGAGTTGTATTTATCCACATGTGACCATGCATTGCTGAGGGACTGGAAGAGAAGTCCTAAGGGACTTGGGGGAAGCTGAGGGAGAAGACAATTCTGATGCAGTCCGATGCCTGAAGCTAAAGAAATTTGTTTTGGGACTTGAGAATAGAGGGTGGAAGACAGCGAAATGCTGATAGTTGGTGATGCGTTAGAATTTGCACTTGATTGGCGGACATTAGTATACACTAGTCTATGATTATGGAAAGTGTGAGGAAGTGAAAATCAGGATCCACTGAATGAAGCCTGGTGAAGGAGAAGAATGGGTCAGTATTGGTACCAGATTGCAAAATGCTCATGAAGAGAAACTAGGAGCAGAGGAGAATCTGAAGGTTTGCAGTACAGCAGGCTCGTTTGATTTATTACTGTATATGAAGCTGAAACATCCTTTGACTTGCAGAGGTGAGAGCATGTCCTGCCTACTCAGCACAGGTAGAAGACACTGAGCATGGCCTGCACTGGATGGGTTGGGCCTATACTGCTCCACAAGTGTTCACTACAGTGCTGATCTTGCCTTTGAAGGCTTGCGTTCTATTCCAGTTTCACCTTTGCATGTGTGATTTACTACCAAGAGGGCAAGCACTGCTTCTCATCCCCAGAGATGGTGCTAGTCCATTGGGTAACCTAAGCAGGAATATTTTTGGCCCTCTTCCTACACAACACATACTAAAAAAGCAGATGAAGGCTCCTTTGAGCTGCTCATGGCCCTTAGTATTTGTTGAATCTAATTATTCCTGGTGCCAGCACTGCTCATCCCACTTGCAATAAAGTCCACAGCAAAACTTGCATTGATTTCAATGGAAGGCAGACCATCTGTCTTCAATGAAATCTTCTGAATTCTCCTCCTCCCTCCCCTTCATGTTAGTGCTCTGTAAGTCAGTCACAACCCGTGAGGAGTTGCTGTGGCGATTTAAGATGCCTTCTGGTCAGTTTTGCAAATAAAATTCAAGTAATGTTTCTTGTGAGCGCAAATGGTCAACTTAAACTTTTACCATTGTTACCCCCTATATTAATCATCATGCCCCTGCTCCAGTAAGTGTTCTGATACTGAGTTGTTGATGCACTGTTTATCTTCAGTTAGGGGCCATAGTTTCCATTAAAATGCTTCCTTTAGCAGTGTGGTGGCAAAGGGATTCTGCAAACAAGGTCTTCTATTCATTGGAGATCCTTTTTTCTGGTTTGTTCCTGCTACATTTAATGCATTAGCAGTGTTCTAAGTACAGCGTGAAGACAGAATCAAAACCCCCAAGCTCCCAACATGTGGCACTCGAAATGGAGAATGTATGAATGGAAGATGTTGGGACGAGATACAGGAAAGAGCAATGTGAATAAGCAGTGGCAGTTTAACATGCGTCTTACTTGTTACACAATTGCCGTCCTCCTTCCCCAGCAATATTTTCTATAATCTACCTGGTGCTGAGTGAAGGAAAAGGAGCAAAAGAGTTTATAGGTTTTCTGAGACACATCTCTCTTGAGTTATGCCTTGGAGGAGAGAGTGGAAGCATGGCAGACAGGCTCAAGGAAGGAATCCCAGACAAAGGATGGTTTGAGAAGGAAAGATATATGGAGAGGACTGTGTGGAGAGGTGGCAGTATGTTCTTTAGTTTGGGTGGAGCAAAGAATCTGACAGTAGTGAAATGGTGACAAGGGATAAATGAATATAGACGGGAGCTAATTGGTTTAGGGTTTCAGAGGGGTAGCTGAGTTAGTCTGTAACTGGAAAAACTTAAGCACCAATAGCCTAGCAGCACCTTAAAGACTAACAAAACATGTAGATGGTATCATGAGCTTTTGTGGGCACAGCCCACTTCTTCAGATGAAGGTTTAGGGTTGTTAGGTTGAGGAGTGGGGCTGTTAATTTTGATGTAGAAGATGGGGATGAAAGAACATGATGAGGACCTGAACATTCCCAGGGCAGCAGACAAGTTTGTATGGTAAAAATGTAGGCACTAACCAAATGGGGCTACTAACCAAAGATATACAGCATAACAGCAATATCTTTAAAGTTGATGGATACCATATAACAAAGAACATAGAAAGTATTGGAAAATGTTCGTATGAATCTACTATATATTTGAGAGAGTTTGTCTGTCTGTGAGTCCCTCTGTCTGTTCAAGAACACCTCTTAAACCAGCAATTCGCAACCAAGATTAGTAAGTGGGCCACATGAGTGACCCTCAATCATCTTAGTGGGCTGTATGCAGCCTGCACACCCCCTTTCTGCCCACCTCTACCATTCATCCTGTACTTGCCTGCTCCCCTCCCTCCTAGCACTTTCAGATTGCCAAGAATAGCCTGATTTGTGCTCCATCCCCACTATTTCCCCTCCCTTCCAGAGCTGGAATGCCGTGAATCAGCTGTTTGCTGCTGTTCAAGCTCCAGGAAGGAGAGGGGGAGAGCGGGGATGGAGTGTGAATCAGGTGATTCATGGTGCATTGAAAGTACTGGGAGAGGGCAGAGTAGGAAGTGCAGAGCTCCAGTGACCCAATGTGTGAGAGGCATATGGAGGAGGGGGCAGACAGGAGGTCCACAGGCTGCAGGTAGAGTCTCAGTGGGCTGCATGCGGCCCGCAGGTCACAAGTTGCCCACCATTGTCCTAAATGGTAGAATCTAGGACTACAGTATTTATATATCTCTTCCTCTTATCATAACTTAAAGTAAGAGTTTGGTTGTGCCAGGAAAATGGGATGTGCCTAGAATGGGGTTGCTTCTCAGAAAACCATATAGAAAAGAGACCGAATCACCAGGCAGGTGAAAGGGACTGGCTGGGGGCGTGCCACCAAATCCAGGACGGCCCTAGCCCTGAGCCTCCCACCCACCAGGCACCCTTTAGGGAGGGCGAGGAAGGGGCAAAGGCGCCTCCCAGTTCATACAGGAACATTGATGGCTGTTTCCCTTCATCAGAGAGCAAGGGGAAAGTGCACAGTTTTCTGCATTCCTTACTCTGGCTGGAGAGCGGAGGGGGCAGATGAACCTGGATCTGCCCCCAGCTGGGGGACATGCACCTCTCCCCTTCCTGTACCAACTGGAGCTGCAGTGGCCACGGAGAGGTGCTTCTCACCTGGCCCTAAGCTGCAGTGAGAGAAGGGTAGGGCTGTCCTCTTTCCCCAGGGCAGCCTGCATACTGAACCTCTCATCCCCAGCCATACCCCCAGAGCAATGATTTAAATGATGCATGTACATTTCCATTTTATTTTGAAAAAAAAAATTGAGTTAAGGACCCAAGCAATGCTGGGTAAATCTTCTAGTATGTAAACAAAGCAAAGTTCCTGCATGTGGCCAGGATAATTATAAAAAAGGAAGAAATTTTTCCCTAGAAAAGATAAAACAAAACTTTCTCTATATAGGTTTTTCATAATTGCCAGATGTATCAGTAGCTTGGTAAGTGTTCCCCACCCCTGCACTCCCCAGAGATCTTTTGTGGAGCAGAAAGGGTGGGTTTGCTTCACAGTATTGTGCCCAGGAAACATTTGCAATGCATGAATGCTCCCTCACTGTCCTTGTCGTGGGGGCTGGCTGGACATGCATGGAATGCTGATTTCCAACAATCCCCCTCTAATGACTATTTAAGAGCACAGCATGGGTTTTACTGTGCAATAAATGTCCAGTTTACGCATTATTCTCCTGTCAAGTGTCAGCCTCCACACATCAGCAGAGATGTTACAGGGACCATGCTGGTTTATTGGAGATGAGCTGCCCTTCTCGAGCAATGAAGCTAAAGCTACCAAAAGGCCCCTTTCTCCTGGAGTAGAAGAGTCTGAATCCTTGCTGCATCTTCCAGCATTTTGGAATATCAAGGAGGAGAGCAGGATTCTCTGCCTTTTAGACCATAGACACATCCTCCTTAAAATTAGGCTTGGGGAGGAGGGATTGTGTGTGTTTCTGATAATTACAAAAATATTAAAGTAACAATAACAATAATGGATGGTATTGTTCTATTGAAGTCAATGGGATGATCTCAATTTTCATTGGTTGAGAAAGTGACCATGGAGAATGATACTCATTATTTCACACGGGATTCAATTACTGTTTTAATTAACACTACTGGAACAATGCTGATTTACACCTGGTGATCTACCCAAAGAAATAGATCTGGATTTCAACATTTAGATTCAGAGTCAGATCAAAATCTAACTTCTACAAATTCAGAGCTTGACTCGGACACAAAGTTCTGATTTGCTTCCACCCCTAAAGAAACAAAACAAGAAATAGACTAGATTAGATACAAGAATAGACAGATAAAAGGCACATAGCTAAAACAGCAGATCCAAGGTATTGCTGCCCATATAAAATAAAGAGTTGTTTTCTCTTTATCCGGGTCTTTTGGTGTCTCCTTTCCTTCCTTCTCTCTTTTGACCTTGGTCACTTGTTGTTATTTGATATTTTATCTGTTTAATTTATATTGTGAGCTCCTGCTGCGTAGGGTCGTTGTCCTTGTATATATCTAAAGCACCATGCTGGCTAATGGAACTGCCAGAATCAACCTAATGAGCAATTTGAGTATCCTAACACAATTATGTAAAGTAAAGACAGATCTTTTCCCTGGCTTATAAATAATGTCCAGCTGTTGGTCTGGATGTACTGCACACACATGAAGCCAGCTACTCCTGCAGGGCTGAATGGATTTAGGTGAGAGAGACATCACCTCAGTAATATATTTTGCAGATGTTTCTGTAATCTAAAATAAATACAAAATGGAAATTATATGTATTTTTAAATTATAATTAAAAACTTGGACCAAAGATTAAAAAAAAATATTTAAGACATTTCTGGCACTTGATCTAACAGGATTAAACAGTAGCTGTTGTGTATGAGACAAGGTAGGTATCTTTTATTGGACCAACTTTTGTTCATAATCTTGTGTCTCTCACGTACAGATATTACCTCACCCAGCTTGTAGCTCTACTATCCTAGGTCCAGCACTACTACTATTCTGCATACAACTGTTGTGTGTGGTGATGGGCTGAATCATTACTGAGGTTACAATCCCACCATCCAACTAAGGGCCTCAATGTGCAATTTCTTGGGAACAAAGGAAGAAAAAAAGCAGGAAATGGAGGGGGAGAGATGTGAAGGAGAAAAGGGGGGGGAGCTGAAAGAAGATGACAATGAGGTGAGCAAAGAAGAAAGGGAGTTAAGTGGCACCAGCTGTGAATGTCCAGGACCAGGTAGGTTTGGGGAAATATCACCTACAGTCATGAGCTGCAAACTGGCCCTCCTTGAAAAGATTGCTGGAAAGCTGTGATGAGGGTAAGTACTTGGGAGATTGGAGAGGAGAGTTACTGTTCTGTTGCTAGGTGATGGATTTTTTATCATGCTAATAACAATAAATGATGATACTGATGCTAACAGAGCATCTTACATATGAGAATTACCAAGGTTTCCATAGACATCTATGTATTTTTATTCCAGTTTCCCAGAGGCTCTGACAGGGCTGAATTGATTTGCCACAGGTCACACAAAGCAGCAGAATAAATGGATAAAAAACTGTCCCATTTTATTCTATTAGGTCATAAAGCCTCCCTTTTCAAGCAATCTCTTTTCTCTCCGTCCTCTCGTCAGTCATCCCCAGGCCCCGCGCTTGCCCATGCTGTCCTGTGTCTTGTTTGGGTCTCTGGACTCATTAGGATTTCTATGCTCTTCTGAGCAAGGATCATGATGTTTTGAGGATTGTAAAAGACTGGCATGGGTAGCAAGTGACTCCTCCATTTGGGGAGGCTGGGTGTGCCTGGATTCTGGCCCTGCAATGAGGCCTGCCCTGCTTGCCCCACCCCTAAGACTCTCCCTCACCTGGGCCTGTTTAACCCTCCCAGAGCCACCCCCCATTGTTGTGTCTCTTCACATCCTCCCCAAGGTTTCACACCCATCGTATATGCCCCCTTCCCTGAGGCCCCCATGCAGGCAGAGCGGCAGCAGGAAGAGGCAGGGGGAGGGTGGGGTCTTGGGGGAAGAGGATGAGCAGAAGCAGGGCCTTGGAGTGGAGCATGGGCGGGGCCGTGGCTGCCGCCCTTTCTGCAGCAGTGCACTTCTCCCTGCTGAGTAGAGAGACCTCGCTTCCCTTGCCCTCTTATGCCCATTGCCTGTGAAGGCTTGGTACATGTATGGGCTACATTGTGAAAGTTCAGCTCTGGTCTGAGTGAGGAACAGTGTGGAACTGTGTCAGCCCTCCAAGAGTGGCTGTGGAAGGGGTTGATCTCACAGATTCCCAATCCCTCCCTCAGCAGCCTGGTGCAGAGTCTGTCTCAGACTTTTTGGATGATGCAACCTGCTCCTTGCTGAGCAGAGGCCCAGTTCATGACCTGATGTGCTGGGGGGACAACGCTGTGGACCTGCCACCTCCCTGTGCACATTTTTGTGGTGCACAAAAAGCAGCTGTTCCTGTGTTCCGCCACACTGGCTGAGGCTAGTGAGATAGGTGATTGAATGGGCTATGCAAAGGGAATAGACTTCTTGTATGCCTTGACCCCTATATTCTTGTCACCCTAAGGATCCTGTGTAAGGGCCTGTGACACTTCCTGATTTATGACCATAAATGGTGTTAAGTATCCCATTCCCCACAACTATGTTTAATTTTTGCTGGCAGGCCAAGGAGACTCTGAATTGCCAAATTTTATGTGATTTCAGTGTGAGGGGCATCTGGTTCATTTTCCTGTGAGCCTGAATTACCAGTTAATCAGCCAATTATACTCATCACACTTGTAAAATGTTCAGCAATTGCATAATGAGGAATTCAAATTACTCCAACTCCTCAGATAAAAGCTCTCTCTGACACTCACAGTTACTGGGTGGCACTGATAGTTTCAACACAAGGGGTACGTCTACACTACATGGCTCCGTCGACGGAGCCATGTAGATTTGTTTATTGGGCAAAGGGAAATGAAGCGGCGATTTAAATAATCGCCGCTTCATTTAAATTTACATGGCTGCCGTGCTGAGCCGACAAACAGCTGATCCCTGCCGACATCAAAGCCCTTTGTCGGCAGCCCCGGTAAACCTCATCCCACGAGGAATAACGGGGCTGCTGACAAAGGGCTTTGATGTCGTCAGGGGAGCGTCCAGACTAGGGCGCTGAGCCGACAAACAGCTGATCAGCTGTTTGTTGGCTCAGCACGGCAGCCATGTAAATTTAAATGAAGCAGCGATTATTTAAATCACCGCTTCATTTTCCTTTGACTATGTGTCTAATGTACATGGCTCCGTCGATGGAGCCATGTAGTCTAGACACAGCCAAGGGCTCCTAAAACACAAATACATAAATAAATACATGAAGCTATTTTCCATCATTACAGGCAGTCCCCGGGTTACGTACAAGATAGGGACTGTAGGTTTGTTCTTAAGTTGAATTTGTATGTAAGTCAGAATTGGTACATATTGTAGGGGAAACTCTAGCCAAACATTTCTCCAGAGCTCAGTTTTATTCTCCCACACCTCACTTCCCTCGGTCCTTTATTCTCAAGCTGAGGTGTCTGCTGAGAAAAGCCGCTCCGCGTCTCCCTGGTCTGCTGGGGGGAAGCAGCTAGTGCGGGGTTGCCTCACCCCGTTTGTAAGTAGGGATCTGATGTAAGTCGGATCCAGGTAACCCGGGGACTGCCTGTATTATATTCTGTGGCCACTATAAGGGTATGTCTACACTACAAAGTTAATTCGAACTAACAGACATTAGTTCGAATAAACTTTCATAGGGGCTACAAATGCAAACCGCTACTTCGAATTTAATTCAAAATAGTGGAGCGCTTAATTCGAACTAAGTAAACCTCATTCTATGAGGACTAACGCCTAGTTCGAATTAAGTAGTTCAATTAAGGGCTGTGTAGCCACTTAATTTGAACTAGTTGGAGGCTAGCCCTTCCCAGGTTGCCCTGGTGGCCACTCTGGGCCAAACCAGGGAAATTTTTCTGCCCCCCTCCTGGCCCTGGAGCCCTTAAAGGGGCACGGTCTGGCTACAGTGCTTGTGCCAGTTGCAAGCCTGCCAGCACCCACCCATCAGACCCTGCACCTGGCCCCCTCCCAGCACCCAGCCAGCAGACCTTGCACCTGGCACGGCATGAGCCAGCACTTGCTGCCACCCAGCCCTCCGCCTCTTCCCAGGCCCAGGCTGGCGGCTCCCAGGAGCCTGCCCAGGGCTGCAAAAAGCAGGCACCTGCCTGGTCTAGTGCGGAGATCGTGGACCTCATCGCGGTTTGGGGGGAGGCCTCCAACATCCACGATCTCAGCACTAGGCACAGGAACACGGCCCTCTATGGCCTCATGGCTGACAGCCTGGCCACCAGAGGCCACATGCGGACCCAGGAGCAGGTCCACTGCAAGATCAAGGACCTGTGTCAGGCCTACTCCAGGGCCTCCCAGCCAGGGGCTGACCCAGAGGCATGCCCTCATTATGAGGCCCTGGACTGCATCCTGGCACTCATGCAGTCCATGCCTCCCCGGGCGGTGACTGACCCCGGGGGAAGAGGCAGGACGGGGGAGGAGGACTTGTGGGTGAGGGTTGAGGTCTCCCAGGGCCTGGTGGAATCTTATTTCATCCTAACATCCATGTATGTACCTAACTATCAGTATTCTGTGTTCAAAAACAGGATGAGAGGTGAAAGCACGGGATGAGTGAAGATGAACTGGCAGAACCGCATAGGAAAGTTTACATAGCACTTGCATGTGGTAGGCTTGGCTCACAATCTCTCTCACTTTCATAAGCTCTGAAAAAAAGAACTACAGGGGGGAAAAAAAGAGCCATGCAACCTAGCACAAACTTCAAGTGCAGTAATTATCAGGACAGTCAAATGCACAAAGCCTGATTTCTACATGTACCAGGTCTCATACTTGCCTATTTACTCTGTTTACTGGCAAAACCAATGGTCTGATTTACAGAGGTGCTGACCTCATTGCTTCCGCTAAAATCAACTGGAAGCTGTGGGTGCTCAGAACCTCTGAAAAAGACCACAAATGTATTGTCAATAACAGGCAGTCAGTATGGCTTTGGAAGGATGATGCTGGAAAAAGGGAAAGATCCTGTTGCTTTTGATATGTAGCCCTGTCTCACTGATGTAACATCAACAACATACCCAGTTAATCTCTGATTCTGTGATCTACTGTTAGCAACCTTTCGGATGCTGCGCTGCAATCCTGGCCACTGCGGGCAGCATGCAGTATGGCCGGGACAGACCGAACCCTCCTGTGTGCGGCACTGTTGCCTC